TCTTTTCTCATTTTTTCTTAATCTAGCTAAAGGTATTAATTGTTAATATCTTTCAAACCCAACTTTTGGTTTCATTGACTTTCATACTTTTTCTATTTTCTATTTTATTTATCTTAGCTCTAATCTTTATTATTTCCTTCCTTCTGTTTTGGGTTTAGTTTGTTCTTCTTTTTCTAGTTCCTTAAGTTGTAAAGTTAGGTTGTTGATTTGAGATCATTCTTGTTTTTTAATTTAACACATTGACTGCCATGTGAATTATATTTAACTCAGGCCAGTTTTGAGCCTGGGGCCATGTGAAGCAAAACCCAGCAGATTGTGGAAATTTTACTTATTGATGTTCTTATTGTTACAGTTAATATGGACAATTTAATTTTAAAAATGTGGATTGAGGGCCAGGGCGGTGGCTCACGCCTGTAATCCTAGCACTCTGGGAGGCCGAGGCGTGCAGATTGCTCGAGGTCAGGAGTTCGCCAGCCTGAGCAAAAGCGAGAGCCGTCTCTACTATAAATAGAAATAAATTAATTGGCCAACTAATATATATAGAAAAAATTAGCTGGGCATGGTGGCGCATGCCTGTAGTCCCAGCTACTCAGGAGGCTGAGGCAGCAGGATTGCTTGAGCCCAGGAGTTTGAGGTTGCTGTGAGCCAGGCTGACGCCACGACACTCACTCTAGCCTGGGCAACAAAGTGAGAGACTGAAAAAAAAAAAAAAAAATGTGGATTGTGTTGCATATAACTCTCTCACAGAAAACAATAAAAAATAACAAATTAGAAAGGATTGTTTTAAGAAACACTGTGGCCCCGGGAAAACTTTTTTTTTTCTAGTGTGGCAATGTGTTCACCCGTGAGCACTTGTAAAGGGTAAATTCACCCTTTAGCACTACTTTTGCTGAATAACAAAAGTTTGGGTATATTGTATTTTTGTTTTCATTTGTCACTAAGTGTTTTTCTAATTTTTCTTGTGATTTCCTCTTTGACCCATTGCGTAAGTGTGTTGTAGTTTCCACAAATTTGTGAATTTTCCAATTTTCCTTATTAATGATTTCTAATTTTACCCTGTTGTGGTTGGAGAAGATACTCTGAATGATATCTGTCTTTTAAAATCTATTGATACTTAATTTGTGGCCTACCATATGGTCTATCCTGAGAATGTCCCACGTGCACTTCAGAAGAATGTGTATTCTGTTGTTTTTGGGTAAAGAGTTTTGTATGTCTGTCCAACAATCTAATTGGTTTATTATATTGTTTAAGTCTTCTATTTCCTTAAATATCTTCTGCTGAATTGTTCTATCCACTATTGAGAGTGGGCAATTGATAGTAATTAGTCTCCAACTATTATTATCGATTATTATTAGGAATATAAATGTTTATAATTATTCTATTTTCTTGCTTTATTGAAACTTTTATTAATATATAATGTCCTTCTTTGTTTCTTACAACCTTTTAAAATTTAAAGTCTATTTTGTCTGATATTAGTATAGCCATCCTTGTTTTCTTTTTGTTACTATTTATGTGGAGTATCTTTTTCAGTCTTTTCACTTTCAACATTTTTGTGTCGTTGTGTAGTTGCATCTGTTTTTTTAAAATCCATTGTGCCGGTCTTGATCTTTTAATTGGAAAGTTTAATGCATTTACATTTAAAGTAATTACTGAAAAAGAGAGACTTAATTTCTGTAATTTTACTACCTGTTTTCTGTATGCCTTATAGGTTTTTTTGTTGTTGTTCCTTATGTCCTATACTACTACTGCCTTCTTTTGTGTTTAGTTGATTTTTTTGTAGTGAAAAATTTCAATTCTCTCTCTTTCTCTATAAATATATATGTATTGTATATATCCTGTAACTCCCTTCTTTGTGGTTCCCATGAGGGTTATAGTTAATATTCTAAAACTGTAACATTTTAATATGAATTCATATCAGCTCAACTTCAATAACATACAAAAACTCTACTCTTTTAACAGCTCTGTCCCAACCTATTCCAGTTATTGATTTCACAATATTATGTCTTTTTACATTAGGTGTCCAAAAACATGAACTAATTGGTTTTTAAAAATGCATTAGTCTCTTCAATTATGTAGATAACAAAATGTGGACTACAAACCAAAGTTATAATAATATTAGCTTTTAGACTAATAATTTAAAAAATGTATTAGTCTCTAAAATCATGTAGAAAGGGCCAGGCACTGTGGCTCACGCCTATAATCCTAGCACTGTGGGAGGCCAAGTCAGAAGGATTGCTTGAGCTCAGGAGTTTGAGACCAGCCTAACCAAGAGTGAGACCCTGTCTCTACTAAAAATAGAAAAAATTAGCTGGGTATGGTGGTACATGGCTGTAGTCCCAGGCACTCAGGAGGCTGAGGCAGGAAGATTGCTTGAGCCCAGAAGTTGGAGGTTGCAGTGAGCTATGATGATGCCACTGCACTCTACCTGGGATGACACAGCGACATCCTGTCTCAAAAAGGAAAACAAAAACAAAAACAAACAAAAAACAGGCAGCAGGATAAGTTATTTCAATGTCCTGCCACTCCGAAGAAGATAGCCTTTCAAAGGAAGGCTTGTGTTCTTGGCTTCACTAGTCTAGAGTTTTTGTCTTACTTAGGTAGGAGGATGGTGGGTGTTGGCAGTTGGTCTTGATTCATATACTGACTCTCACTTTTTATACTAAGTTTTAGATTTTCTTGAATAAATGTTTCTTCTTTCAACAGACAAAATTACAACAGATTTAGTTTGAAAATCTCACTTGGCTTTATTGTGATAATGCTTCATTCCATAAAATAGAATAATTGTTCCAGTGAGTCAAGCAGAAGAAGTTGGTAGAAAAAGGGCTGAATAAAGCAGAAAGAAAAAAACAAAAAGCAGATTGGTCATTTTAAAGTTACTTTTCTTGTAGGGCAGGGACAGGTACCATGTTTCCCCGAAAATAAGACCTACCCATAAAATAAGCCCTAGCAGGATTTCTAAGCATTTGCACAATATAAGCCCTACCCCCAAAATAAGACCTAGTGATGGGCGTGGCTACGCAGTGTAGCTGCACAACCTGTGCATTGCGTCACGGAGCGGTAAAGAAGACGAGCAGCCCTTCTCATCTGCCCCATGAGAGCTCTATTGTTCAACATGAGAGATTGGGGCCAATGGTTCTAAAGGAAATAGAGTTGCAAGAAATTCAGGATGGAATTCAGGGTTTAGAGAGTTATGATGATGTTCTAGAAGATGACAACTTAACTATATTTGAATAAATGTGGATTGTTATACTGTACTTAAAAAAAATAACACATCCCCTGAAAATAAGCCCTAGGGTGTCTTCTTGAGGAAAAATAAGTATCAGACCCTGTTTTATTTTCAGGTAAACATGGTAGATAGAACAATAGGAAAATCATTGATTGGCTAACATTAGGTTACTTCAGATTAAGGATTAACACTTAGGGAACTTGAAAGTGGCCTGTTTGGGAAATTAGGATGTTATCTGGTAAGTATGGGTAACTCCATTTTGAGTTTTAGTCTGCTCTGTTGGGCCTAGTGCAGTTTATTCCAAAACAGTGGACTCTTACATTTAACAATTCACATGCTGTATGTCCTAAGCACTATTTCCAGAGATGTTAAATGGTGGATATTTAAAATAATTTTCACTAGTTTCACTGGGGGGAGTCTGAGTAGGGGGTGGTCTATAGAGCTCCTTTTGCTGTCATGCTGAATGTGAAAGCAATCGGGATTATACTTTATATTCAGCTATGTCTCTTTTAATTTGGAACAGTGTTCCTCACTCAGTCTGTTTTTTTGTTTGTTTGTTTTTTGAGACTGAGTCTTGCTTTGTTGCCCAGGCTAGAGTGAGTGCCGTGGTGTCAGCCCAGCTCACAGCAACCTCAAACTCCTGGGCTCAAGCAATCCTCCTGCCTCAGCCTCCCAAGTAGCTGGGACTACAGGCATGTACCACCATGCCCGGCTAATTTTTTTTTCTATATATATTAGTTGGCCAATTAATTTCTTTCTATTTGTTGTAGAGACGAGGTCTCGCTCTTGCTCAGGCTGGTTTCGAACTCCTGACCTCGAGCAATCTGCCAGCCTCAGCCTCCCAGAGTGCTAGGATTACAGGTGTGAGCCACCGCGCCTGGCCAACTTTGACATTTTTGAAGAAATATAGGCCATATATTTTATATGATGTTTCTTGGTTTAGATTTTTCTGATGTTTTTCTCATGAATAGATTCAGGTTATGCTTTTTTTATTTATGTTTTTTGAGATCAGGTTTCATTGTGTTGCCAGGAGTGCAGTGGCTATTCACAGGTCCGATCATAATGCACTGCAGCTTTGAACTCCTGGGCTCAAGTGATCCTTCTGCCTCAGCCTCCAGAATAGCTGGCATTACAGGCACAAGACACCATGCCAGGCTTAGGTTATACCTTTTTGGCAGGAATACCACAGAAGTCATGTGTCCTCAGTGCATTGTATCAGGAGGTGTTAACATACTAGTACGTATGTTTAACATGCTAGGTGTTAATCTCAAGCATTTCTTTCAACAGACATACATTGCTTGTCACATAGTACATTTTGTTTATTAGGTTGAATTTTATGTTAATTTGTTATTTGTATTACATTTTGTAAATGTATGGGATTGACATTTACATATATATATAAATGGATTTGCTGAATTATCTGTGGGATTTTGTTATGTTGGGTTTTGTTGATTTCAAGATCTCTTTATATACTAGTGCTATTAATCCTTTGGCATGAATGTTGCAAATTTTTCCCTAGTTTATTGTTTGCTCTTTAATTTCTTATGACTTTTTTTAAAATCTTAGTTTAAAAATTTTTTTAATTAAATATTTTCATCTTTTTTTTTTCTTTCAACTGCCTGTCTGAAAAGTTTTATGTAAACAAAACTATTAGTATTTTTCCATTGTTTCCACCTTTGGTATCATGCTTAGAAAAGCCCTTCCTTTAAGATTACAGAAATATTTTTTTCAACTACACACTGATTTTCTTTTTATCCATCTGTTTCTCAAATAGGTACGTTTGCGGGATCACATGGGCGAAAAGTATACAAGTTACAGTGTGAAAGCTCGCCACTTGAAATTTTTGGAAGAAAATGTAAATTTTTGAAAAAGACCTGTTTTCAAAGGTTTGGGGCTTAAAAAACAAAAAGAAATTAACCACAGCAATCGTTTCGAGGCCATTCACCATCCTTTTATATCTCTTTGGAGTTTTCTTACTGGAAAAACAGTGGACAGAACACAGTAATATGAAGCCAGCTCACAAAAGAAAAACCTTGGCTTTCATACTCTCTTTATGAGGACAAATCTGTTGAGTTTCTTTGGTTACCATTTACTGAGCCTTAAACCACTAACTTTATATCTAGAACTTTATTTTTTTAAGGTACTAATTCGCTTGAAAACAGGACTATACAATACTGGATTGGAGGTTTTATATTGTACTATAGTGACAAAAGCAATAGGAGAAACAAATGATATAATATTACTTGCTATTGTTAATAACCTTAGGGAGGTAGTTGGTAAATTATTTTTATTTTTTGAAGCAGAGTCTCACTATGCCACCCGGGCTAGAGTGCCATGGCATCATCCTAGCTCACAGCAACCTCAAATTCCTGGGCTCAAGCAATCCTGCCTCAGCCTCCTGAGTAGCTGGGACTATAGGCACGAGCCACCACACCCAGCTAATTTGGTAAATTATTTTTTAAGAAGTCAATTCACAATTCTGGGAATAAATTTAAGGAATATGAAGTTCTTTCTAGTATTTGAGTAACTGAATTTCTTTTTTACACCTTGCTGGATTTTATTTTCGTTTAATATGAATCTATTTAGGGTACAGAAGAACTAAAACTAAGAGATATATTGGCTTTGTAAATCGGCATCTTTTTATATACTTGTTTTCTTAGATTTATTTTTCCATCAGTGAAAACATTTCTTAAACACTAATTCCTTTTCTAGTTAAGCAATTTACAAGTAAAGGCCAGGTCTATTTAGTTATTTTGGATATATTTAATGTTTGTCTCCTTCAGTTTGTCTTCATGTATGTCAAGGTATTGGTTGTCTTTCCATGATTTAAATGTATGTGACATATTTTATTAGTTGTTTAATAAGAGATAATGCCCATCTAGGAAATAGTTTTTATAAAATTAAATACAAGTTTTGATGAGTAAATTTTCACTTCTGTATTCATGGTGCTCTAAAAATGAATACTGCTCCAGAAATGTTTTCAGTTTTTATTAAAAATATCTTTTTTTGAAAATCATACACATACAAAAAAATACTCTAATGAATTGTTCCCTTTACAGTCACTTAACAAATTTTTATTTAGTTTTTACTCTGTGCCAGGTGCTTTGCCAGGAGCTAGGGATATATTGGTGAATAAAACAATAGTCCCCGCCATGACAGCGCTCACAGCCTGGTTTCGGAGACCTCTTATTTTCACTCTGAAGGGTTAGCTACAACTCAAGTTGTAAAACCATCTAGTCCCAGTCCTCAGCTGGAAGCAAATATTTGTCAATCTGTTGAGTCTCACTGAGGTGTTCACCTCTTCTTGAATGTTTTGTAACTCCACATCTTTTTGGACAGTCATCCATTTTTCTTACATTTTCTAACTTATTAGTATAAAGTATGTATTATTTTCTTAGAATTAAGAGTCTCCCCCATACTTTATTTATTCCCATGCTATATATTTTTTATTTTGTTTAAATATTCACTGGAGACTGTGGCTTAGTCCTGTAACCTGGACACTTTGGGAGGCCAAGGTGGGAGAATTGCTTGAGCCCAGGAGTTGAAAGCAGCTTGGACAACATAGTGAGACCTCACCTCTGCAAAAAAAATGAGCCAAGTATGGTGGTGCATGTCTACAGTCCCAACTGCTTGGGGGGCTGAGGCAGGCAGGATTGCTTGAGCCCAGGAGTATATGATTGTGCCACTGCACTTTAGCCTGGGCAACAGAGTGAGACCTTGTCTCAAATAACAAAAACCCACATTCATTCAGTTTTCATCCCACTGTCTTTTCGTTATTGTGTGGTTTCGTTATTTTTTTCTTAACTGCTTCATTCGTTGTTCATCTTCCTTAATTGCCTTTAAAACACATTCTTAAGACTATGAATTTTCTTCTGAATGAATATACCTTTGGCTACATTTCAGAGGCTTTGCTCTGATACTCTTTTGACATTATTTCCAAAAAGTCAGTAATTCTGATTTTGATTTTCTCTTGTAGAAGTGTTTAATTTCAGTGGATTTAGAAAGCTTTCAAAGTTCTATGTCCTTGCTTCAGCTACATTGCAGTGTTGTTACTGAGTATGACCTGCACAACCTCTACTTCTTAGAGTTTTATTATTTTTTTCCTGTTGCTTGGTATGTGATCCATTGTTACAATGGCCCTATGGGCATTCAATAAAGGTGGATTGTTAAACACAAAATCACTTGCCTGTTAAATATTATTCAAGGTTCTCTGTAAGACCTAATCAATACAATTTTGTGATGGAGATTTTCTGTATCTGCACTGTCCTATGTGGTAGCCACTATTTATCTATGGCTATTGAGCCCTTGAATTCAATTTAAGGAACTGAATTTTAAACTTTAATTTTAATTAAATTTAAGTTTAAATAGACCCATGTGACTAGTGGCAGCATATTGGACAGCATAGTTCTTTCTGTATCATTCATTCAATACATATTTATTGAGCACCTGCAATGTGTCATGTACTCTTCTAGGTACTGGGCAGACAACAGTGAGCAAAACAAATTCCCTGTTCCCATGGAACTAATGTTCTAGTGAAAAGACTTAACAAATATATACCATGAGATGTATTAAATGCCATGAAAAAGTAGGCTAAGTGGATATATCGTGATGGGGCATACTACATGGGTATCTGAGGGAAAACGTTCCAAGACCAGGGAATTAAGAACAAAAGTCTACTCTACTTAATCTGCCAAATGCTGAAAGATAGCATATTGGTCTACCAAGAGGGTAGCTTTGCCAAACTTTTATATTTGCAGTCTTTGCTTCATATAGTTCATGACTCTTTTTTAACTTATTTTGTAGTTCACATCTTTTTTTTTTTTTTTTTTAACTTATCTGTATTTGTTACAAGTTTTAAGTTGTGACTTGGGCACTACATTTCTATTCACAAGCCTCACTTTTCAAAACAGTTTTACAACACATATGGGTATGGCTTATAATTTTGCTCCTCTAAACAACACTTCTTTGGAATACAAGCAATGTGTAGAGTTTCAAGTTGCTTTACTTTAAACATAATTATTTCTAGAGGACTAGTAATATATGCACAAACTACAAGGGGATGAAAAGTTTAAAAAGTAGATTCTAGAAGATGAATTCAAGTCATTTTAACAAATACTTTTCTTCTAAATATCAAGATATATCTTGGAATACTCAGTGACAAAAGATTTGGTCTACTAAGGAATCTGGCTTAATAGCTAAGCACTCTAGGCCACAAAGTTAACAGAGGTTAGATATATTTTACAACACTTTTACCTCAATCTGTTCCAATAAGCCAATGTGAAACCAGAAACGCATTACTAGCTCTGCTTTAGTGCCTAAAGCATCATAGTATCAGACTTAGAAGTAGAAAGAATCTTTATCTTCCCCTTAAAGTAGTTATTATCACATGCCATACAGATTTTTTTAAATGTTAAAAACAGAGAAAAAAAATCCTTGAAAATATATTGTTGGAGGGAATGAAGTATTGAACACGTATACAAGTCATTTTTCAGGGAGAGCTTAGTCTGCTTCTTCCATGCGTGATGTGTAATTCACATCTTATTCAATACAATGATTCCCAACAGTGACATCTTGGCAGCTATGAAATGTCCTCTTTGTACCATTTAATGCTTTCTAAGTATTTGACTTTTTCACTATTACCTCTCTTTTATGCTTTCATCTGCCTAATATATCCTTGCTCCTGTTTTTAACCTTTGGATGTCATTTTGAGAACATGAGGTAATTTGATTTTTAACCCTTTCTAGGAACTTCTGACTTTTTAATCACATTTATTATACTAATATGCTTGGTCTTATTTCTGCTTTCTTAATTTTTATTACCTTTAAAAAAAATCTTTCCTGAGTTTTGCTGTATTAAGGTCTTTTTTAAAAACTCATAGTTTGAAAGTCCTATATCCTGGCATTGTGAAACAAAGCATTTACCTGTAATAACCCACCCACTCCAGACCTCTAACACAAGACCTTTAAGCATATTTTTCTCTTCAGCCTTCTGGAAAAAGTAAAAGGATTTTACAGCTTTATGAGGTTTTAATTTGGTCCATTTCAAGTAAAGCATGCATTAAATGTTTTCTGCTTAACAACAGCCTTATTTCAGTGGTAACAAAACATTACTTTACTAAAAAGTTACATTAATACATTTTTCATAGGTGCTTGCTATTGTTACAAATATACTAGCCACAGAAAATAAAAATGGTGCTTATGGTTTCAGAACCCCAAGCTTCTAACTTTGGCTATACTAATATTCTTGCTTGCAGAACAATGAACAAAAGACCCTTTAGACATAAACTTGCACTATGACTTTTTAATTGGAAATATTAAAATGGTTTGACTCATAATGAATTATAAAACTTTGACAGTTAGATTGTACTATCTTTTATGAGGCATTTATTCTTTGTTATTTATGTGTCTGTGACAGAAACAAGATACTTGTGTTTTCTGTTCCCCATTTCAGAGGAAAATTATGAAGAGAGGGTCTAAACTATTTATAAGTCAAAACCCACCTGGCGCAGAAATGAAATATAAAGAGAACTAAGTCTATACACAGTTGTGCCGTAAGAGCATAGGTAGCTTAGCTTGTATTTTGGGTATGAAGCAATTTAGTTCATCTCACAGGAAACAAAAGCAGGTGCTGATCATGAAAACTTCAATTAATTATTTTTAGCATGCCTCTTAATTTTTCTCTCCCCTGGTTTCTTATCTTCTGTGCCTGAGTCTTGAACAGGTAACCACTTGAGAGGATGTCGCCGATAGATGGGCCAGGGAGGAAGTGTCAGCTGGACCAGAACAGAGAAAATGCATCATTTATAGCTATTCAAAATTTTAAAAACCATTTTGTAAAACGCCTAGTTTCCAAATGATTCCTATACAAAAAGGAAAAAAACAAACAGAAAATCCCTGATATTCCTATGAAAGCTCTGTGCCCAGACAGATACTGTAAGAAGGGAACACACTCTGGGTACACATAAATGGCTTGAAGACCTAAAAGATAGGCGAGGGGGCAATGTGAACACAAGATATTCCTGCTAGCTTTGACCTTAAGATTATTGCCTGGAGTAGCTGCAAAGGAAATAAGCTATATTCTTTTATGCAGTCCACACCATCTGACACTATTAGGCATTCTACTTTTACAATGATTGCAAGAGGAAACACTAATCGGAAGGATGAGGGGAAAGTTGACTAGCCACAGACACTATTAACTGGATCCAACCAAAGCAACCTGACTCAGAAAACCTGAGTTGACATTAACACCCACGAATTTCTTACCAAACACGAAAATGCAAATCCGGCCATAACTATATAGACAGTCCACCCGAACTGTTCAGCCACGTACCCGTAGATAAATCCAATTATCTAGAAACAGACAAAGTATATTAAACATAGTCAAACTCGAAGGGGTGGGGGAAAGATTAAATATAAAAGCAATACTTACTGCAGAAAAAAGAATAATTCCCTGAAACATCTGTTCAGCTAGCTTCTGGCCCTTGTAGTCCTGAAGTGAAGGAGAGCAAAAAAAATTGGGTCCACCACCAAGGAGGTACAGTTCCTGCCCTGACCTCACGGCTTTGGCACAGGTTAACCGCAACATCAGGGGTCTGGGCAAGGAATCAAATTCTGGGTTTCCTGGGGGTGGGGGGGACTGAAGTATCCTAATGGAGCATAAACAGGGGGATCCTCGCGAGGGAAGATGGAAGGGGACACAGGAGGCAATTTGGGCAAGAGAGTGCCAGAAACCGCGCAGCACCGCGTCGGTGCTCCGACAAGGGCTTTGAAGCTGCCAGGTTAGAGAGTAGCATGCGGAGACCCCCGGGCCGTGCCCTCACCATCTGCGTGGGCAGCGAGCTCAGATGCTCCAGCATGGCTGGCCGGGGAGGCGGGCAGTAGAGCGCAGGCGGCAGGCTGCAGGGCGAGGGCGACTGAGATTCAGCGATTGTAGGGCCCGGGGTCTGGCACTGTGCGTCGTCTGGCTGGCCAGAGGAGCAGGGGAGTGCGATGGCCGCGGACCCGGAAGCGGATGTCTCCGACAGGCTGGGACAGCCCATGGCCCCGCCCCGCGCCATCGCTAGGCGACGTGCCCTTTCGCTGCCGGTCGTAGTCCGGCGTGCTGCCCGCGAGGGCTGAGGTGGCGACCGCAGCGACCCGGTCCCGGCATCGCGTGCCCGTGAAGGTTTCGCCGTCAGTGCTGTTGGGTGCCGGGCGCCGCAGACCCGGCCCAGAAAACTGCCCTTCACCGCGCCTCCGCGGCATAACGGCCACTGGCGCGCGCTGCGTCTCCATGGCGACAGCCTTTCTCTGCGAGGACCCCGGCGCCAGGGCTGCCCCGCGGCGCCTCCTTGACGAGACAAGCTCGCGGCCCGAGCAGCTGGCGGGTTGGAGACTGTAGGACTGCACTGCCGCCGTGGAGCGAGCAGGCAAGTGGGCTCCGCCCTGACTGCAGGGGTCGCCGGTAGCCTGGCGGCTGGCTGTGCCCCTCGGCCTGCGGCGGGCGCTGAGCTGGCAGGGCGGGCCGGGGCGCAGGCGTCGGCGTCGGCGTCGGCAGCTGCAGCTCCTGCTCCGCCTACAGGTAAGGGCGTCTGCAGTGAGCCTCCGAGGGGAAAGACTTGTCGGAGCCCTGACCCGTGATTCTGGGCCTGGCTGGATCCCTGGAGCGACACAGTACCTCTGGATCACTCCTGAGGATCAGGGAGCCCTATTGAGCCTTAGAATTTAGGGGGCACTACCCCAGGCCACATCCTCGAAAGAAGGACATTCTCTGGGAGAAGGGACCTCCGTCCTCGGCCAGCCCTGGCACCCGTGAGAGTCGCCCATCCGGTGGGTTCCGAACATGCTGGCTGACTTTACTGGCTCCTACAAATCTAGGCTTGGTCCTTCGGATAGAGACCAGCCAAGGGTTCACCCAGTCCCTCTTTCAAGGCTGGTGTACCTCTCAAAATCTTAGAGCTTCCCCCGTTACCGCGAGCTAGATGGGGTGCCCACTTATTGGAGAGAAACCGTTCTGTGGAACCCAGGCCTCTGGGTCCCAGCAGGCTCTGTGGTCTCTAGGCCATGTAGGCAGCGTTAGCCAGAACAGTGGGAATCTAGGCATTCCCGGGGCAAGGTGGTGTGTGGCTGCTTCCCTCATTAACGCAGCCAGCAAATGTTAACGGCACGCTTGTTTTGTGCCAGGGGACCGAGTGTACGGCTGTTGCTAAGACCAGGCTCTTGCCTTACTAGAGCCAAGAGTGTGTTAAGGAGACAGCCACATCATTCCGGAAATATATAACAGCAGATTAGTCCCGGGCTAGGGAGGCCCTGGAGATGTGGGAGCTCAGGGGAGGTGCAGCTCATCGGGCATTTGAAGGAGGCTGCCTTGACTCCTGAAAACCAAGTAGGAGCTAGTTAGGTGAAGAGGTAGGAGAAAGTGTATGTGTACTCTCAGTGTATTTCTATCCTTCCACGTGGCAGAGAGCAAACAGTAAAGTACAGACACTTTTGACACTTTTCTAACCTCAGGAGCCAGTGCATGTAGAGGGCAGAAATATGGATGAGCAAGAATTTATGCTGGTCTCCTTTCCATACTATGTGTATGTTTCTTGGTGTGTTTAAACAGACTTTCCGTTGTGTGTATAAATAGACATATCTCCCTGTGTTGTCTCTCTTCAGGTGGACTTCATATGATAGCAGTTGCTGTAGAGACTTTATGATGTTTGAGCTATAAAGATATGGGAAAAGGAAATTCCCTGTCAGGTTCCATTTGAGAGAGTTCCATTGGAATCCATGTTTTTCCTTAAGCTGGAATTTGTTTTCATGATCATGTTTGTTTTTTTTTTGAGACAGAGTCTCACTGTCTTGCCTGGGCTACAGTGCCGTGGCATCAGCCTAGCTCACAGCAACCTCAAACTCCTGGGCTCCAGCGATCCTCCTGCCTCAGCCTCCCTGGTAGCTGGGACCACAGGCACATACCACCGTGCCTGGCTAATCTTTTCTATTTTTAGTTGTATTTATACAACTTTATTTATAGTAGAGACGAGTCTCACGCTTGCTCAGGCTGGTCTCAAACTCCTGAGCTCAAGCAATCCTCTTGTCTTGGCCTCCCAGAGTGCTAGGATTACAGGTGTGAGTGTTTTCATGATTATTACCAAAGATTGCATTCCCTTTCTGAGCTGAGAACTAGCCTTGCTCCTAGATTAGCAAGATCATTCAACAAATACATGCCTACTCCTACCATTTGCCAGATACAGTTTTAGGTGGCAGGGGATACATCAGTAAACATTTTCATTGGGGTACCTGTTTTCATGGAGCTTACATTCTAGTCAGGGGAGATGGAAATAAACAAATAAATGAGGTAATTTCATAGTTAAGGAGGGGAAGTAATGAAGTTTCCTGATGGTCTCTGAGGGGATCAGTAAGAGGAGAACAGAAAAATGACCTTGGTCTTTGGTGACCTCCTCAAGAGCAGTTTGAATGTAGGAATATAAGTCTGATTAGAAGAGGGAGGCTAAAGAGAGAAGAGAGGAAGTAGAGCTAGAGACTATATCCTTTGAAGCTTTTAGAGTGAGAAGAGAAATGGGTCTGTGGGTTAGTGGGAGGTGGGAGGGATGTTGTCTTTTTTTTTTTTTTAATTAACTGGAAGATACCAGAGCATGATAGCATGTTGATGAGTATGATCCATCAGAGAGCAAAAGATGCTACACCAAGGAAACAATTTATAGGATAGGATACGGAGCATCAGCAGAATGGCCTTTCATGGAAATACTTGATCCATAATAACAGGAAGGAAAACAAAAGGTGGGCACAGCTGCTGAGAATGTGGGTATAAATGCAGGTAGCTAGCAAGTTAAAATAAAGTTGTTTTCCCCTAAAGTTTCTTTCCTATTTCTGGGTATGCCTGACCTGGGCCTGTGTGCATTTGTGTGTGTGTGTAGGTTTATTGTTTTGTTTCTGTGAGTGATTTAGGATTGTGGAAGTTTTATAATTTCTGAACAAAAATATTTATTTTTATGGTGAACAGTTGAGTACAATTGGCCCTCTGTATCCATGGGTTTCACATCCTCAGATTCAACCAACCATGGATGAAAGTCCACGGATACAGAGGGCTGACTATACCATGCCATTTTATACAGGGGACTTGAGCATCCATAGATTTTGATATCCATGGGGGAGTCCTGGAACCAATCCCCCATGGATACAGAGGGCCAACTATATTGCTGATCAAATTGTACACAATTGTGTACTCTTACAAAAGTGTAGCTACTATTATATATCCAGGGTCTACATGCAATTTTGTTTTGAGAATTCCTTCTAACCAGTCAGGGAAGCTCTGTTACCAAGAATAGCACTAGGAAAGGAAATATGGACTAGACATACTCCATGATAATTGGCATTTTACATGTTGGTAACTGTGGAACAGTCTTAGAAGTGGTTTCTGCCATGCTAATCTACTTAAGTATATCAAATACATGCTAGAATTGTGTTTTTCATGTGTCTAGCTAACTGGAATAGCACAAGTACATGTGTCTCTCAATCCATATCCTACCTGTTACTCGAAGTTGAGGAGCTAAAACTGTGTCCCTTGTGCCATTAACTAACTGGGATTTATTCTAGTGAGATTGTTTCTCCAATCATGGTAAAAGTTGGCTTAATGCAGGTGGACGTTGGGGCTTTATCTGAGGAACCCCCAATCTGCTATCTTCTATAGATAAGGGTCACAATATGATAGAGGCACAATGGCTTAGGGTAGATAATGTATATTCTTTAGAGAGGAAGTTCATTGGTATAATGTACTTCATATATACTGATCTAGAAACATATGTGTGTGTGTATTTAGATTGTTCTTTGGGAGTCTTTTTTTTTTTTTTGAGACAGAGTCTCACTCTGGTGCCTGGGCTAGAGTGCCATGGCTTTAGCCTAACTCACAGCAACCTCAAACTTCTGGGCTCAGGCGATCCTCCTGCCTCAGCTTCCCAAGTAGCTGGGACTACAGGCATGTGCCACCATGCCCGGCTAATTTTTTCTACATATTTTAAGTTGTCCAGCTCATTTCTTTTCTGCTTTTCTTTTTAGTAGAGACAGGGTCTCGCTCTTGCTCAGGCTGGTCTCAAACTCCTAAGCTCAAACGATCCACCCACCTCTGCCTCCCAGAGTGCTAGGATTACAGGTGTGAGCCACCATGCCCAGTCCCTTGGGAGTCTTGAATTATTTTACCCCAAATTTACAATCTGGCCTGTGATGCCCAGTTTTTTAAACAGATCTTCAATATATTTCTCTTTACAAAGGCTTTGAGAAATCAAGTGCTTGATATGCACACAGTTTGCCTAGAATGAAATTCCAACTTACTGTCTTAGAAATATGCTATGTTTGAAAGTGCTTTGTAAAATTAATAGCCCTATATAAATGTTAGGTGCTACCATGAGTGAAGATGAAGTGAAAAAAAAGGATGGAAAATGTAGGATCACAATATCCTGGTTGCATAAAATCTGTTTTTAAGGTAACATTTTACCCAGAGATTGTTGAAGAAATTTAATTGTTAAATTTAGTTCCATCTGCAGTCTTGTTTCCATTCAATCATTTGTTTTGAAAAAGTGAAAGCATCAGATGAGCTGGGGAAGACTAGCCAGGCAGAGTGACAATATTTTTTGTGGTTAAAATGGCTAGAAATACACTCTAAACTTTTGATAGAAAGATTGGATTTTATGAATTCTGTAACTATTTTTCTGTGTTGTGGTTTTGTCAAGTGAATTTAGATAATGTTCTTTTCTATGAGGATACTGATGTTAAAGGCAACTGGGATACAACTCTGAACAGGGATGTTTTGAAGTGATGAGGCCAAGACCTCAGGTTGCTTGGTTATAGACAACTGAGTCCATGTCTACTTTAGGAATTTTTTTTTTTTTTTTTTTTGAGACAGAGTCTCGCTTTGTTGCCCAGGCTAGAGTGAGTGCCGTGACATCAGCCTAGCTCACAGCAACCTCAGACTCCTGCGCTTAAGCGACCCTCCTGCCTCAGCCTCCTGAGTAGCTGGGACTACAGGCATGTGCCACCATGCCAGGCTAATTTTGTTTCTAATTTTAGTTGACTGGCTAATTTTTTCAATTTTTATTAGAGATAGGGTCTTGCTCTTGTTCAGGCTAGTCTCCAACTCCTGACCTCAAGCAATTCTCCCGCCTTGGCCTTACAGAGTGCAAGGATTACAAGTGTGAGCCACCACACCCAGCCTACTTTAGGAATTTTAAGTAGACATTTATTCTTTTTTTTTGAGACAAGAGTCTCACTCTGGTGCCTGGACTAGGAGTGCTGTGCATCAGCCTAGCTCATAGCAACCGTCAAATTCCTGGGCTCAGGTGACCTCCTGCCTCCAGCCTCCTGAAGCTGGGAACTACAGGCATGCAACCACCATGCTCCGGCTATTTTTTCTATATATTTTTTTTTAAGGTTTGTTCCAGCTAATTTCTTTCTATGTTCATAGTAAGAGGACGAAGTCCTCACTCTTACGCTTTCAGGCTGGTCTCGAACTCCTGAGCTCAAGAAGTCTTCCCGCCTCAGCCTCCCAGAGTGCAAGGATTACAGGTGTGGACCACCACGCCTGGCCAACATTTATTCTTAAATGTTTCTCTAGTGGTTAGACTCTAAGTATTCCTCATAGTAGAATTTATTTTGCTTGTCATCTAGTGATGCATGATGTACATGGCTAAAGCTATGTATTTCTCCAAGTTATTTGGAAATGTTTTATTTTGAGTACCATAAAAATTTCAGATCCCAACTTGGGTTCTTGGAAATTGATAATTCAAGTTTTTGGCAGAGTACTACATGTGCCTCATGTTTCTACCCGAATAAAATTGTTTAGGCATTTTGATGGCCATTCTCATAAACTTACTGACTTTGGGTGCTTGTTTTTGTTTTGTAGGGTTAATAACTAATAAGACAGAAGAGAAAGATGTCATTCCGCAAAGGTATGCTCTTTCTATAAGTTATAATGTTTTGAAACCTGGTCAAAAGTAAAGATGTGTAATGCAGGTTTTTCCCATCTGTTTCAGTAAACATTGTCATCTTGGTCCTGGCTGTTGTTCTCTTCTTATTGGTTTTGCACCATAACTTCCTCGGCTTGAGCAGTTTGCTGAGGAATGAAGTTTCAGGTATGGGAACCCTTACAGATGCCTTGGGATCTGTTGAGGACCTGGAGTTCTCTGTGTCCTACATCCTAAAGTTACGTCACTATGTTAAATGGGGAAAAAAAGCTCTACTAAGGTCTTAACATAAGTTACGAAAGACTCTGGGAGAAGGCATGGTGGGTACTCATTGTGCTCTTGCACTGCCCCCCACTTTTCTTCTTCCTATAGTGCAATTGTTTGCTAAGGGTTTGATCTGACAGAGTATTGCTTTTCATCAAATCAGCGGCCTTTCAGGAGCCTCTGTAGTCTGATATCTGCTCACATTTCAGCAGGACAGGACTTTGGAAGTCCTTTGGAAGTCCTTTGGAAGTGATGTAACTTTGGAAGGTGAGAGCAGGCAAGTGTCCCTTGTGTCTGATGCCTGCTCTAGTCACTAGAACGTCAGTCTGGTCACTTTCCTTTACCTGTTACTTTCCTTTAACTTGTACAACTGCATCAGGGAGACTCTAGTAATAAAACAAAATCAAAAGCCTTGTCAACTGGTTTTAAAAGTCACTTTATTGTATAATTACTTTGCAAGTTATTTTAAATTAGTTGTTCATACTGCTCTGCCTTGGTATTGAGGGATGTTTAAAGCTTCAGGGTGTTTGTCAAGTCATTTTTGGATTGCTACCTACCATAGTTGACCAGAGCAAGACTAATAGCTTTCCCCTTTCAGCTTTTTATAACAAGATGTTTAATGTATATAAAGGTATTGCATGCTCTTGGTGGGAAAATTTACAAAAAAAAAATACGATTCAAGTACTGTGAGAGCAGTTTGTTCACTGCTTTATCTCCCATGCCTACAGATAATGCCTGATACTAGGAGGTGAGGTGTTCTATAAATATTAGTTGAATGAGTGATTTCACTGCCTAGAGGTTACTGTTATTAAAATTTTGGCTTAGAACCTTCCAGTCTTTTTCTTCATGTGTATGTTTTTCTACAGTGAGATTATACTATAAACTGTACATAGGACATGTTTTTCTATGTGATTATATCATAAGCATGTCACCATGTTAGTAGAAACTTTTCATATATAATCTTTTTTTTCTTTTGAGACAAAGTCTCACATGTTGCCAAGGCTAGAGTGAGTGGTGTGGTGTCAGCCTAGCTGACAGCAACTTCAAACTCCTGGGCTCAGCCATCCTACTGCCTCAGCCTCCCAAGTAGCTGGGACTATAGGAATGCACCACCATGCCCGGCTAATTTTTTTCTATATATTTTTAGTTGGCCAATTAATTTCTTTTTATTTTTAGTAGAGACGGGGTCTCGCTCTGGCTAAGGCTGGTTTCGAACTCCTGACCTTGAGTGATCCACCTGCCTTGGCCTCCCAGAGTGCTGGGATTACAGGCCAGCAGAAACTTTTCATATATAATCTTTTTGTTTTGTTTTGTTTTGTTTTGTTTGTTTTTTGAGACAGAGTCTCACTTTGTTGCCCAGGCTAGAGCGAGTGCCATGGCGTCAGTCTAGCTCACAGCAACCTCAAACTCCTGGGCTCAAGCCATCCTACTGCCTCCGCCTCCCAAGTAGCTGGGACTACAGGCATGCGCCCACCATGCCGGCTAATTTTTCTCTATATATTATGTTGGCCTATTAATTTCTTTCGTATTTATAGTAGAGACAGGGTCTTGCTCTTGCTCAGGCTGGTTTTGAACTCCTGACCTTGAGCGATCTGCCCACCTCAGCCTCCCAGAGTGCCAGGATTACAGGCGTGAGCCACCGTGGCCGGCCCATATGTAATCTTAATGGCATATAGTTTGTTTCCATAGGAAAACATCTTTTGGTACAATGACTTTCAGGCTTTTTATTTTTTACTTTCAGATTTTTAATGGCAACCCACAATAAGAAATGTATTACATGCAGCACACACATATACATGTATATTTGCTTATTATCTGTCTTCTATAATGGTAGATATTTGTTTGTTTTATTGCCTGGCACATAGTATGTGCTCAGCATTCAGTGAATGATGAATAATAGAGACACTTTCCTTTACCTGTTACTTTCCTTTAACTTGTACAACTGCATCAGGGAGACTCTAGTAATAAAACAAAATCAAAAGCCTTGTCAACTGGTTTTAAAAGTCACTTTATTATAATTACTTTGCAAGTTATTTTAAATTAGTTGTTCATACTGCTCTGCCTTGGTATTGAGGGATGTTTAAAGCTTCAGGGTGTTTGTCAAGTCATTTTTGGATTGCTACCTACCATAATTGACCAGAGCAAGACTAATAGCTTTCCCTTTCACTTTTATAACAAGATGTTTAATGTATATAAAGGTATTGCATGCTCTTGGTGGGAAATTTACAAAAAAAAAATACGATTCAAGTACTGTGAGAGCAGTTTGTTCACTGCTTTATCTCCCATGCCTACAGATAGACCTGATACTAGGAGGTGAGGTGTTCTATAAATATTAGTTGAATGAGTGATTTCACTGCCTAGAGGTTACTGTTATTAAAATTTTGGCTTAAGACCTTCCAGTCTTTTTCTTCATGTGTATGTTTTTCTACAGTGAGATTATACTATAAACTGTACATAGGACATGTTTTCTATGTGATTATATCATAAGCATGTCACCATGTTAGTAGAACTTTCATATATAATCTTTTTTTTTTTTTGAGACAAAGTCTCACATGTTGCCAAGGCTAGAGTGAGTGGTGTGGTGTCAGCCTAGCTGACAGCAACTTCAAACTCCTGGGCTCAGCCATCCTACTGCCTCAGCCTCCCAGTACTGACTATAGGAATGCACCACCATGCCCGGCTAATTTTTTTCTATATATTTTAGTTGGCTAATTAATTTCTTTTTTTTAGTAGAGACGGGGTCTCGCTCTGGCTAAGGCTGGTTTCGAACTCCTGACCTTGAGTGATCCACCTGCCTTGGCCTCCCAGAGTGCTGGGATTACAGGCCAGCAGAAACTTTTCATATATAATTTTTTGTTTTTGTTGTTGTTTTGTTTGTTTGTTTGAGACAGAGTCTCACTTTGTTGCCCAGGCTAGAGCGAGTGCCATGGCGTCAGTCTAGCTCACAGCAACCTCAAACTCCTGGGCTCAAGCCATCCTACTGCCTCCGCCTCCCAAGTAGCTGGGACTACAGGCATGCGCCACCATGCCCGGCTAATTTTTTCTCTATATATATTAGTTCCTATTAATCTTTTCTATTTATAGTAGAGACAGGGTCTTGCTCTTGCTCAGGCTGGTTTTGAACTCCTGACCTTGAGCGATCTGCCCACCTCAGCCTCCCAGAGTGCCAGGATTACAGGCGTGAGCCACCGTGGCCGGCCCATATGTAATCTTAATGGCATATAGTTTGTTTCCATAGGAA